TCACAATAGTGTGCATTGCATTGGCAATGCACACTGATTAAATAAATAAACCAGGAAATGGCAGGTGAAGAAATCAGCTGCGTCCAAAATACATCAGAAACTCACCCAAAAGAGTAAATTCTGTGAGATTCCATGTTTTATACTGGATTCCATTTTGTGTCAGTTCCATGATTCCGTTTGTATTTTCCACATTCCACAGTCCTATTTTTATTTATTTTTTACAAACCTGGGAAACTTTCCCACGTACCCCTTGTAAAAAGCTCGGGTACCCAGGTTGGGAATCACTGGATTAAAGGACGAGTGATGTGGATTTGTCCATCACTCAGGTCTTTAAAGGTTCTTCTCCTCATCCAGGAACAAACTCTGAGCAAGTCATAACTAAGGAGAATGATGTTCTTTTTTTAGTCTAATTTAGCGTACACTTTGCTTTTTGTTTTTCCTTCTATTCATAATAAAGTAATTTTTCAGTATAATAAAAATGGACTCATCAGTGTTTTCTTTTTCTTTGGGTTTTTCTAAAGACTGGTCACACTGAGTGTCAGACTCATGATGTTGTTCAGCTTCCATTAAGTGCTTTTAAGCCCCAAAAAAAGCTTTCCTCTCAGTTTTTACCAGCGCCTCACTTACCATGCACTCTGCCTAACACCAGAGACTTGACAGCATTAAACTCTCCATCAGACGTGAGGTTGAAGACTTCTCTGGCATTCTGATCAACCTGAGGAGGGAAAAAAATACCAGATTTTTATTTTAGTGTAAGCCTACAGAAAGAACCAAGATTATTAAATTTATCTCAGACTTTCCATCGTTACGTCACACAAAACTCAAACAAAAGGTTAGATTTGCAGAGAAACTTTTACTTATTATTTTTCAGTGAAAGCTTCATGAAATTTCTGCAGAGTCTTGTTGTTTCTGCCGCCAGTTAACCCMAGATGCATGTTTTTGGTCTGTGAGAGGAAACTATAGCATGTGCAGAGCAGAGGTTCTCAAAGAACCCCCRTGGGTCCATGCGCTGTAGTTTGAGGGTCTGCAAAAATTTACATTCAATTGTTTATTTTGGTTTGCATAAGGGGAACAATGCACTGATAAAACAAACATATTAAACCAAAGGAAAAATAATAATTCCCATGACATTTATGTGTTAAAAAGGCAGTAAATAACTTTTAAGTCAGCATGAGGTAAGCGGTCCCCAGACCCAAAATGTTTGCAAGAAGAAAACATGCAAATTTCACCCAGAAAGGCTCCAGTCAGTTCTAAAGCTGTGACCTCTCTAACCACCATGCTGCCCCCAAAAACCAACCTTTATCTAAAACTGTCTGAATCCTCACCTGAGACTGTGACCAGAAAAGTTCTGGAAAAACTCTGCAGAGATCTATCATTAAAARTCAGTCAGAGCTCACTAAGGTCCTTTAAATCAAATTTAGTAAAAACAGCAGCAAYATAATCACAGGTCACAAAGACAGGTCCATGTCTCTGGATTGATTCAGCTGTGGACAGAGGTGTGGTTGAGTGAAKGCATCTAAAGGCCATGCCACACTAAAACGTTTTAGACAACGTGTAAAAAGTTTGTCCAACACTGACAATATTTAAGCCAAAGATGACATTTAAAACAACTGGAAGCCGTAAAGCTAACAATTAGATTGAATATRTAATCGATGAGTAAAATAGTCAAACTTTTCATAAGTCAGCATAAGTTGTGTAAAACAGGCCCTTAAACGATTGACTAAATATTTTGGGAATGAGATGTTAAAATGCATAATTGATTTGATTTTGATTTGATTTATTGATTCAACA